TCCCAAAACAACTGGAGCACCACTTGAAAACCATCGGCATTGACAAAATCACCATCAGTCAATTTCAGAAGGCAGCTTCACTTGGAACAGGAACCTGTGAGGATACCTTTAACACCATCAAACAACAACATCCGCCTATTCCAGGTCTTTGGGAAGGACTTGATAGGTGGATAAAAATGCCAAATCCAGTCTAAACAACTGGCTGACTGTGCAACCAACAACAATAATAATGTATAACATTTGTTGATAATAGTATATTGCTCTTCCTTGTATCTTCTGTGGGGAAGGGATTCATCTCTCCCACATCCTATCTTATTCCCTCAAGAGTTATTTCTGGGAAGGCTTCTTTTGTACTGTCTTGTCTTACACTACCATTGTCTCTCAGTGAGAAACTAGTTATTCTGCCCTACCCATTAAGAAGTGTGGGTGCTCTGAATTCCATAAGAATTTTTTCTCTGGGGAGGCATAGTTTAATTGGGCATGCTCAATGTTCTGTTATCATCAAAATGGATGAAGGCTGGAATATGGCAGGCTATTCTACTGCTGCATATGCAAACATCAGATCCCTGAAATTATCCCTCTACTTACAAATTGATACAGTGAAGGTGAAAGAGCAAGAATTGTTTGCAAATCTGTTTGCAGTCATAAATCCCAGAGTGGATTTTAGAATAGGTTGTGATCTCTGAGGAAATCTATTAGCTCTTACATATTACACAAGGCGATTCAAAAATTTAAGGAATTCCTGAGTCTGAAAACACTGCTTGTAATCTAGTGTTTAAAATTCATTCTAAAGATGCAAATGTAGTGAGTCAATCATGAGAACATTCAGAAAAAATATAGATATCAACTCTAAAGATTATGTTGCAAAAATGTGTCCATAAATATGTGAGACGTAAAAATAAATATAATACGAATAAAGAAGTATATATAAAGATGATAGATTTATATGTGTGCTTAACTAAGAAATGTTACTGCATGTTGTATAGAAATAAAAGGAGAAACAATTCATTGGCAATTTTATTTTGGTTTTGAAAACTGTTCAGGACTACAGTGTGATGTTGTTGACATGTTTAAATCAATATTACCACTATGCAGAATCAGTTGTTCCTAACAAAGGAATAACTGCTCTATCTATATCACATGTTAGACATGCATTATAAAGCCAAAAATAATCTAGTGTAATGTCTCAAGTTTACATTTTTTGCTTTTTCTTTTTTTAAAAGTCATTCAACCTAAGGAAACATTGCATAGCTCCATCTTGTGTGCCAGTTGTGATCTCCCACATATTATGTCAGCAATTTTCCCAAATCTATTAAAAAGTTATCTGATCAAAAAAATGAATTAAGATTACTTTGGCAACATTTGTTCTTGATAAATGAATGCTAATTTCTGGTAATTATCACATTATTTTCAAGTTATTTATAGAACAATCTCTTTATGAACTACTTTAGAATCTTCCCAGGTATTGATGTCAGAATGACTGGCCTGTAGTTCACTGGAACTTTCTTTTTACCACTTTGGAAGATTGGGCTGAGTTGCTCTGCTCTAGTCATCTGGCACTTGACTAGTTTTCCAGGATTCCACAAAGATAAAGGTTTGACTATCCAATCAATTAGTTCTTTCAGCACCCTAGGATGCACTTATCTGGTTGTGAAAATTTAAACTTATTCAAAGTAAAGAGGTATTCCCTGATCATTTTTCTCAAGCTTCAACCTTGCCCTTCATCCTGCTTTTCCTCATTTCCTAGTGAGACACAAAACTTTTTGTTTCGTTAGATAAAACTGAATAGGGGTTGAGTACCTTTGTGTTTCCTTTGTTATCTGTTAGCGTGTTGCCATCTTTATTGAGCAGCTGGTATACTACTTCTTTTCTTTCCCTTTTATTTTGAATCTTAAAGGTGATTTTAGTATTCTTAGCACTTTTTGCTAACCTCAGCTCATTCTGAGATTTTGTTTTCCTAATATTATCTCTACTGTTGTGAGCTACCTGTCTGTACACTTCTTTTGTGACCTGGCCCTGTTTCCATTTCCTGTATGTGTTCTTTTTTGTTTTTAGATTCTCCCTAAGATTTGGGTAGCCATGTCAGCTGCTTCTGCTGCCCTTCATTTTTTTCTTCTCATTGAATTTTTTTGCAGTTGTACTTTTGGTAGCTTTGATACTTGTTTTTTAGGAACTGTCACTCATCTTGAGCTCATTTTCCCATAAGTTTTTTTCTGTCATGTGACCTTACTTAGTATTGTGCTGAGTTTATTAAAATCCACATTTTAGTCTAAAATATAAAACTGACTATCCTCAATTTTAGTTTACCTTCAGATCAAGAACTCCATCATTACAGAGTTACTTTCCTTAATGTTCCTTCCACTTCCTCAACTAAATGTTCTTTATTGATTAATATTAAGTCAAGCATACAATAATTGATCATCTGATGTCTGTGAAGGAGAAAACTGTCAGCAAGACAAGTCTGGAATTTCCTGAAAAGACTATGCTTCACAGTGTTTCTCCTCCACTAGATGTCAGGGTAATTAAAGTTTTCCATCACTGCAACTTCATGTATCTTTGAAAGATGTGCAGTTTGCTTTTGGAAGGACTCATCCACTTCTTATTATGCAAGCAATAGTAGGCATCAACAACAATACTGAACTTCTTATTCCTTTCATTTTAATCATGATACTCTGTACAGTACAGTGTTGTCAAATTCATTCATTTGGATTTCTGAGCAGGAATGGATATTTTTAACCTACAGTATAACTTTTCCCTTTCCTTTGTTTTTGTTACCTTTGAACAAATGTATCCTTCAATTACTATATTGTTATGGGAGTTACTCCACCAGGTTTCTGTTATACTTACTAAATCACACTTGGCCTTTTGTAGTAAAGCTCATTTTATTTATTTCCCATACTTCAACCATTAGTATACAGGCAAAAGGCTATGTATTCTATGAGCCAACTTTCATTTTTTTCCTGATATTTCTTGGGTGGTTTCATGCTTTTTAACCCACATTTCCAGTTTGTACAGAACACAAGTCTTTGTGGTCTTACTTCAAGTTTTTCTTTTCCACCCGCCCCTCCCCCCAAGATTTTGCTTTACACTGTGCTAATCAGGATCATGATGCTTTGGCCAAACACATTTTTATCAGTCCTTGAGAGGCCAGCAGTCCTTTCATATGTATCTTATTCTGCATCCCTAACTATGGCTGTATACAGTATGTCAATGTGGTATGATATTTTCAGTCAAACACATATTTGTATTTGAGCATAAAGGGCACATATGACATGTTAAATAAGTCATTTAAGCTAAAATGTTTAAAAAGAATTTGGTGTTAGTGGTAATTTAATATTAATTACATTAATGTTAATTGTTATATAATAAGTATCATTATATAACATTAAATTATTACAGAATCATATTTGATATCTTGATGTTCACAGAATCATATTTGATGTTATCTTGATGTTAACTGTTCTGTGTCCTTCTAAAATCAGTAAGTCCCATTATTTTAGACTATTGTTACACTTCTACTGAGTTTGTTTTCTAAAAGGAATAGCTAATTGTCTCTTTCTTTCAGCCAATATCTAAACTTATTATTGGGTTATGTATCAGAAAAAGAGGAAAAAGAAAAAAAGTAGGGACATCACCTTTTCATTTAGTATCTATAATTCTGTTACATTATTGTAAACACAAGTCTGTCTTTTTTACATTTTTTATTTCTGAATACAGTGCATGTATTGTCATGTAATTCTTTCAGTCTTTAATGAATATTCTAGGCACTTTTAGCAAAAAATTGCCTCTGTAATTTAGGATAGATCTTCCTAATATTTTACTTTCTTTTGCAGATAAATTTGCGCCTCATTTTGGTAAGTGGAAAAACGAAAGAGTTCTTGTTCTCACCAAATGATTCAGCAGCAGACATTGCAAAACATGTATATGACAACTGGCCAATGGGTAAGTACTGGAATGTTAATGTTTATTATTAGATCAGTATTCTAGTCTGTATCTCCAGTGTATGGAATGGGGAGAAAAAATATCTTCCTCAAAAATAAAATTTTGAAATGCTAACATATACTGTTCATATGCTTTATCCAATTTGGTTTTATTTTCCTCCTGTCTAAAATCAATGAGTGTTGAGTAATCCTGGAATGCAAATAGCAGTAGAGCCATTGTACACTAGAACTATATTTTTGATAAACTCACATTTTGAATTCTTAACTGGCAGAGAATATGTCAAGAAGGAAAGTGCTAGTGGAATGCAAATGGTTCAAATTCAAAGCATCTCATGTTGTATTATTTCACAATCAAAACAGACAATCTTGATTGTTTTAAAAGAGTATTTTAAGAGTGTTTTGAATGTGACATGGTTCATTTTCATAACATTTTGCATATTGTTAGTACCTAATCATCTATAAAGCCACTGCATCTCTTATGAGGTTATATTCTCCATGTGCTACTTGGAAGTAGAAAAGTAGGAACCAGGCTTCAAAAGACAAGCTGTCTGCTAGGCATTATAGTTCTGGCTGTAGGATTGGTCCTGTGCCCCTGTATGTTGCCTTCATGTGCACATTTATCAACAGATAATGTTTAGTTAAAACTTTTTAATCCTGAGCCCTTTTTGCATGGATAAGTCTTTGAAATTGATGAAACCTAAGTGAATGTAAGTAACTGCCCATGTGATTGGAATTAGCATTAGCATTGCTCTCTGCTGCACTTAAGTATAATTAAGGAATATAGTGACACTGCCATTAAATCATATTTAGTAATATATATCCTACTGGCTTTATAATTAAACATTTACAAAGAGGCTTGGAAACCCCCCCCCCCACCATAATGGCAACATTAAAAAAAAATCTATAAAGTTAAAATGCCTAAGCTAGTAGAAACGGTAAAACTAAAAATATGACAGCTGCAGCAGCAACCGCAAAGAAAAGCAATGAAAATGACTATTTTAAAAATTGTTTGTTTTTTTAAAGTTTTAGTCTGGCACCCAAGTTCATCAAATTTGGGGGAGAGTTCCATTGGCAAAAGAATATCTCAGCAATGGTACTTTGCTTAATTGCTCTTATCTCTCTTATAAAAGATTATCTCAGTAACTTAATGGTTGAGCAGTTCTTCTAAGATTAGGCAGCCCTTAACACATCTAGGCTCCAAGTCATATAGGACTTAAAGCTAGCATTATAATTTCTATCCAGTCACTTTGAAAACTAATAGAATTACCTTTTAAAATGATAAAATTTCAAGCAGCTAATTATGGTCAGTTGTTTAATTGATGTATATTGAGCAGTTTCTAAATGTTTTTCAAAGACTGCTCATATATAATATGTTGTAGTGGATTTATATTAATGTTACCAATAGGTGCCTAATATTATCCAGAAAATGTGCAGTTGGTGTGCTAGCTTTTGGTATTGAAAGGTATTCCTATCACAAATGTCTTTTGGGTATCTGTAATCTAATACTGATGCTTTAAACTTGATCTCAGAGGTGGGCATGCATGACCCTCCAAATGTTGTTGGACGGCAGTTCTTGCCATCCTTCACCATTGTCCATGCTGACTAACAGGTGATGGGAGTGATTAACATCTAATCTGGACAGTCTGTGTTTGTTTATTGAATTTATACACTGACCTGTTTTTTTCCAACATTCAAGGCAACATGACCTGCAAGCAAATGTCCTGTAGCTAAAAAGAGATTGGTTGTCTCATCAAGACAACAATCCAAAATATACTTTCAAATCAACTTTACCATAAATAAAAATAAAAGGTTCACTAGGCTATTTGGTGATGCAGCAGAGCAGAACTGGAAAGAGGGAAGGTGATGTGACTATAGTCTATACAAATTCCATCTGAGAGTCTGCCAGTTTTGAGTGTTTTCCTGTTGCATTTGGATGGTCAGAACTTCTCCTTGAATTAATCTGCCAACTAAATATTCTACCACTGGTACACTATGTACCTAACAGCCAGTCTAATAAATATCACAAGCTGCTGAAGAGTTTGTCAGTGTAACAAAGTTGCAGTTTGTCTATTGTCAAATCAACATAAATACTCCAACTGAATGATTAACATATTTATAGTGCTAAACTTGAATCTCAGGGCTTTTCTACACTGCAGCCTTAAGCTGCTAGACTTCCATGTGTAAACTGGCTGGAAATGAAGCTGGCTAAAGGGATACTTTTCCAGATATCACTCTTTCCTCTGCTTTGGCCATAGTGATGGCTTGATGTTTTGTCTGGACTGTGTTTACCATGGCCCATGATTGGTGGATTCCCTGCTGCTTTACTCCTCCTGAACTAGTAAAAAACACACAAAAGAAAAAAAAACCCGGTTTTCACTGGTTATATAGATCAGTTCTGAAGCAAACTCATATTTGCTAATCAAACTATGGTAACCCAATTTAATTTAGAACTGAAACCTGGTTAGTGTTAACCATTGTATAATGGCTGCTATGTCAATATCCACCATCAGAGAATGTGAGTTCCTATGCAATCTCATGATGCATCCCTGATATTAAAGCATGGAGCTTTAATTAAGCTTATATTAATCTGTATTTGTAATAGGTTTGTTGTTAAAGTAGAATACAAGGATATACTCTTGTGGGTTTGTGATACTAATGTGATACATAACATTTTCCCAATGTTGAAAGCAAATTTACATAGATTTATTTTTGCCCCTAATAGTAGAACAGTAAGCACAGTGTATAGGCAGCCCTTTCCATGTCATATGGGACAGTGCAATAGTTACAAGCCACAACTCCACTTCATGACTGAATTTGATAAGCACATTTTCCTTTTTATAGCTAACATGGAAGATACTGTGCATACATTCAGGTACCTCACTTCCTAAACCTTGGGATTTAATCCTATTTTAATAAAAAAAACTAATGGCTAAGATCATAAGCATTGTGCATTTTAGCTTACTCTCCTACATTAGTTGACTTCTCTTCATTCTCTTTTTGTTGTTATTTGTGTGTGTGTGCGTGCGTCCATGTGCTGTGTATATATTACTGACATTTCTTAGGGGGAACGATTGTGGCTTGGATATATGTTTTTCAGGTTCCTCCAGTAGCCCCTATGCAAATGGTGTGAATGGAAGGCAGATCTATGCAGGAGTTAGGACCCATTTTGGTTTATAATGATTCCTGTCTTTGCCTCTTAACTTTCTGAGGGTATCTGGAAAATCAGGTTTAGTAACGTCAAGTACTGATGCTATTCCTGTTGAATGTTAGGAGATTATCTAATAAAAAAATACTAACAGCCATAGGCAAAGAGCTGATTATATGTTTCACAAGAACCAAGCAGGATTGGGGTGGCAGCCCTTATGGCCTTGGGTGCTGCTAGCTATGGGGGAGGTGTCATTCTGCAGTGGTTCCCCTGTTATCTGGGCTCAATCAGAAGGTGATATTGGAAGTCATCTGCTTGACTCTGGGAATTGTCCTGGTGGATCCCACAAGGTTCCTTCTTATTTAATATTTATATGAAACCACTGGGAAGGATCATATGTGGTTTTGGAGCTAATTGTCACCAGGAATCTACTTCTCTTTTCCTGCAAGCTTACTCTTAAGGCATTTTTTGGGAGCTAGCATGTAACTCCAAGCTGTAAGAGACCACAAGCAGGAGAATAAGAGGAAGCTGAATTTGGACAAGATTGAGTTCTTCCTGATTCTAGGGACCGGACTTCAGGTTTGGCTGTTCTGGATGGAGTCACTTTCCTTGTTAAGGAATAGTTTCACAATATGGGCATGGTTGTTCTAAAGGGGGAGACCATCATTATGCAAATGGTGTAACTTACATATTTGGCATTAGATGTAAGTATATAATGGGATGCAAATCTATAATGGTAACAGGCAGTCCCTTACCTTACTGAGGCTTAAGGCTGGGAGGAACCAAGCCTGGAATGGCTTGGACTGGGGTGGGTTCTTGGCTAACAACCAGCGGAATTCACTTAACATAGGCAATGGGGACTGCCGGGATTGCCATCGCTAAGCAATGCAGTTATGTGATGTCTTGTTTTACAACTGCATTGCTTAGTGATGGAAATTTTAGTCCCAATTGTGGTCATAAGTTGAGGACTACCTGTACTGTAACCTTATAATAAAAGTATTACCTGTATTAGCATTCATAACTCTGGTTTCTAGTCTGGTCTACCTTGAAGGGTTGACACATACTGGGTGCTGTTACTTTCTAAGATCAGTTTAAGATGCCCTCTTTAGTATACAAAGTTTTACATGGTTTGGTCCATGTTATCAACAGGATTTATTCCTGTCCTAGGTCTTCTAGAGGGCACCTCTTGTACATCATATCAGGGATACAGCTAATGTAATTAATAGAGAATCAGTTCTGGTTTGGAAAATTATCTTATGGAGCACTTTTGTACTGCCCCCAGAATGGTCAAATTGGTATGATCTAGAGAATGCTCCTGAGTTAAGTTTTGCACTTATCTAATAGATAGTAATTGTGTCTTCATGGAATGAACTGCTCCTGGAATTGAGCAAATCTTTTCTTTAGTGAAGTTAGAAAGGGGCATAAAATATTTTATCCATTTTAAAGTTTTAGGGATTTTACGCTTCTGGTCTTTAAATGTTTATATATATCATTTTCACTGTTTGTATCATTGTCACTGTTTGTGTTGTAAGCCAACCAGAACCATTTTAGAGTGGGCAACATGATTAATTTGTAAAATAAAACACTGTATAAAAGCTGTGATAGAGGAGCCAAGGTTAAGTTTCAGAGGATAATTTTGTTTAAAAACAAAAAAGATACTGCAATCAGAGGTACTGCAGAATATGTGTGCAGGAAGAAGTTTGTTTTTTTGCAAGATTCTAATACATATTAAATAATTCTGAAATACATTATAAAATATGAAAGCATTGATCGATCATAACTTAAATCACAGGATAACATCTTATAATAAATCTGATAGGCATTTTTTGTATTGTCCAATATGCTTTACTACCTCATATACTCAGCATATTTTCTAACAAAGGTGATGTTTACCTTTATTGTCTTCTTTATGGCTTTTATCATGAGTTTGTAAAATTCTGTGTCTTTGGGCAGGTTGTCATTTCCTACCAACAAAAACATCTGATTTTTTTTTTTAATGACTTAAAGCAGCACCGATCAGTCAGAGTACTATAGGAATCTTTACATTAAATTAAACTGTAATTCTCAAGATGGAATTATGTATTCAGTTGATTCTTGGAATGAAAAACAATATGCTATATTTCTTTATAACATTTCATACTGATTGGGCCAGAGCTTAGAATGGGCAGCAGACAGTGTGCAGAAGTGGAAATTCCATGACTTAAGGTTGCTTTGGTGACTTTTCTGGGGTAGACTTCTTTTTCAGTGGTAGTAGTTATTCTGTTTATGAATAGATTTTAAAAACCTATGTAGACAAGAAATCTGAAATGATTTTTATTTTTCTTACATTTACACAATGTAGTAAATTTTGTTACTTTTAACCCTGGATAGTTTTTTATGGCTTAGAGGGTTATGGGAATTCAGCCTGTTTGGTTAGTTTATGATTCAGTGTCTTGTATGAACTCAGGAAATTCAGTAACCAAGTTAAGCATGTTGTGGAAACACAGTCTGAAAGGCTGTTTTTCCTTATATTAAGCTCTCCACCACAACTTAATTTCTGAATTGTAGTTGTTGCCAAATCATTTTCTTGTGATTGTTTTTAAAAGTGAACTTATTTGACTTGTGATCTTATTATTCTTTGGGAGATGAATCTGTTTTCTAATTTATTTATTTTTTGTACATACAGGACTTGTACTTTCTTTCTCTATAGTTAGTCTACTTTTATTCTAGTTTCATTCATTTCTTTTATATTCTTTCATGTCCATTCCCATTTCTGCTGTTGGCCCAACCAAATAATGATTTGGCCCTCATCTGAAACCTTTTATCACCCTTGTATCCTTCATGAATTATCTCAGTGTTTCATCATGAACAATCAAATCAAATGTGCTTTTAGAATCATTCGTTTGTGATGTATACATGTGAATAGACTGGTGCTTAACCCACATAGTTGAAACAAATAGATCTTTTTCTAAGCTGATACTTCTAAATAGTTACTATTCTCATTCTTAGTCCCCAAATGGCCTACTTTTTCTATATTGTCATCTCATTCTCACCCAGATGTTAATATCAATTAACAAAATAACATTTTCAATATAAACAATTATTATATTTATGTTGAGTATGTATAGGAGGAATGGCTGGAGTTATTTTCTAATTCTGGTCCTTTTCATGTGTCTCTTTAAGGCTAAAATTAAAGACATATCCATCTTCCTTATGACAAGAAAACAGATGTACTCAAAAGGATATTTATAAACTGTGTTATGAGCCTTGTTGAAGTTTATAAGAAGCAATATATAATTTCAGAATTAGATAATTGAATTTTGTTATTTTTGTTGTTGCAGATTGGGAAGAAGAACAAGTGAGCAGTCCAAATATTCTGAGACTTATTTATCAAGGAAGATTTCTGCATGGCAATGTGACACTAGGAGGTAAATGAAATAAATTGGCTTATAGAGATCTTCTGAGTGATCTGAAATGCAAAAAAATGATAAGATTTCATTGGCATGGGAACAATCCAAAGTTAAAATACACTTTTTAGAAAGTTCAGCAAATGGTCTTGTTGAAATTGAAACAGAGAGTATTTTTAATATGAATTGTGTTTTAATTGGGGTTACAGCAATGTTATAATTTCAGTTTCTATATTGCATAGGAATGTTAGAAAATATAATCAGAATGAAGCTAAGATTAAGGAAGTGTCCTGCATCTTACAATTATGAGTAAGAAAATGTTGAGAGCTGAGTCAAAGTAAATTTTCTCATCTGTAACATTGCTTCTCAGATAGTATTACTAGTTATTTGCACAAGAATGAAATTATCTCACTTGGAATAGAAAAGCTGTTCAGTTGTGCCCCCTTGTGGTGTGCCTCATTGATTCTTTTTAACTGAATGATCTCTAGTATTGCCATGTTATTCTGAGGTTGTTAATAACATCTCAGATGGAATATAAATGTATTTGGGTATGGACGGATTTACCTGCAGTTTCTATACAAGCACCTAAACATGAAGATTTGTATCTCACTCTTTAGCCAACCCCCCCCCCAAACTTCCAGAAAATGAACAAAATTGAATAATGAGAAAAATTCTGCATTTATGCTTATCCTGTTAGCAACACATAGAAGGAAAAGGGACTGGGACAGAAGATGAAATGAATGACTGCAGGCATTAATTGCTATTTACAAAGTTTTTATGAATACTGAAATAGAAGTAGTTCAGATAAGGAGCCAAAAGTTCCTAGTCTCTCATTAGGGTTGATAAGCTTGCTTCTATTTTCTCTTCTACTTTCTCTGCTACAATCTGGTGTATTATTGCTATGTTCTGTGAGGAGTAGCAGCATGATGGAGACTGATTCTCCACAGAGCCTTTTTTCCCATGTTGTTATCTCTGGGGAGAAATTGAAATTAAAAAATCCTACTCACATGGGTATGCGTTGAATTACAATATTGTCTGCAGAAGTAATTGGGCTATGTTATTTTATGTATTTTTTTAAAATAGTATATTTTATAAGGTTTGACATTACAGTATTAAAAAGTTTTGATAGTTGAAGAAAAATTATTTTTTGAAACGTTGGAAGCAATGGGATTCCCGATGTAGGCTTTTTCCAGGTGATAGGTTTTATCACTTATCAGCTTTCTGTAAATAGTTTGTATTTTTTCAGGACATTTTCCGCATTGCATTGAATGCTTTTTCTTATAGCATTGTTAATATATTCTTGCCACAATATTTAAATCTGGCAATTTTTCCTACCTTTAGTGGCTTCTTTATAATGGTGCCCTCCACAAGACAATTGTGACTCAGGCCCAAGAAGGGGACTAGTAGATCAAGCATCTTTCAAGCAGGCCATCAGGGATGTCCATTGAGAAGCTAGAATTAAAAGAGAGCACATATACAGTGCACATGAGAAACTGCCTCTGGCTCTTTCCTGTCCATTCATCTCTCAGCAGAAAGTAGAAAATCTTCTGTGTGGCAGTACAATTCAGTCTAGGTGCAGGAAGTACAACAGATGCTTTTGTTTTTCATTTCTTTTCAGCTTTTCTAGTTGCTTCTTCCTTCTTTTCTCTCCCAGCTAGTAAACCTGTAAGGGGGAATCATGAAATCCCTGTTTCTCAATTTTTAGAACAGTAATCTGAAAAATAAACATCATGGAACTTTGAAACTGCGAAACTTGCCTAAGGTTTTCCTGCCATATCCCTGACTGGCAGATACTTTAGAAGTTAAAACAGAACAGAATAAACCTGGTGTATTTACATTAGGGCTGTGCAGGTATTTGGATTCAAAGTGAGAAAGATGCTTCAGATCTTGTGTGCACTGAATGTGTCCACACCAGATAAAAAGCACCTTTCCCTATTTAGATCCAAACACCTGCACCCTTTTAAGTTTTCAGTATGGTAGCAGCAATTGGCCAATCTTACCTCAATTTTAAAAGATAAGTAGGGTTGACCATGGTTATGACTTTGCTGGGAAATTTCCAAGTAATACCAGAGGTATAGGTTAGGCTTGGAAATTGGAAAGTCCCAGGAGAAGACCATGGCAAGTCATTTGTACATGGACAGGTCCAGGAAATCAGCAGGAATCAAGCTCACCTTGAAGCGAATTTACACATACACACAGAGAATCACCACTGGATTATTGAATCCATAATTATTGAAAGCTAAATAGAATAGCTTCCTACAATCAGTTTCCTTCACATATATTGTATTATAGTTTTTTTATTCTTCGTCAACACAATAATTGACATTTGGTAATGATGAGAGTTATAGAGCAACTCATGTGAAGATCAATGAGTATGAAGTAATATAAAACAGCTGTTCAATTCCACAGCAACCTCATTGGCATAGAAGTGTTTTAAATAATCTGTTACTTTAATTGAATCAATTATGGCTACATTGACGTTTAATTTATCCTTTCCACTCCAGTAGATTTGCAAAAGTTAATACAATATTTTACTCTCTGCTTGTACAACTTTTATTCTGTAAGTGGCTTGAGAGACTGTTAAAGAATGGCTAATAATTTTTTTTTAAAGAAATATATACTGTGAATATCCTACTATCAGAGTCAGAAAATAATTGTAATTCAATCAAAATTATGGAATAACATTGTGCAAACTAAAAAGAGCATTACAAAACTTTTTTTTCCTTTTTTGCAGCATTAAAACTGCCTTTTGGCAAAACAACAGTGATGCATTTGGTGGCTAGAGAGACATTGCCAGAGCCAAACTCTCAAGGTAGGCTTAGCAAATTGCAACAGATTTTTTTATATTGGATATTATAGATGCAAATTAGGAAGAAAACAACTTTTTGTTGTTACACTTATGATCAATTTAATGTTTTTTTGAGTACTTTTGAACTATTGAATTTAAATTCAGAATTGAACATTGGATTAAAAATATGAGACCAAACCCATTGCATGTGTGTGCCCCCCCCCCCCCCCACATATACAGTACTGTGCAAAAGTTTTAGGCAGGTGTGAAAAAATGCTGTAAAGTAAGAATGCTTTCA